ATTATGTCAAAGCAGCTTGTCTGAGACCTGGATGCTGCTTTTCAGTATGGATGGATGTAGCTGTCAGCTACACGTGAACACAAGCAAGGATAAATACATTGGGGTGCCTCTGGGCTAGGAATGCACGAGAGAGCACTTAGACCTTGATATGACCCAACTTTCATCATTGTGCACCTGGTAAATTTTTCTGGCACTTCTTGATTCTCTGTTACTTTTACTTTCTCTACATTTATGACATCCTCTTCAAAAGAAGACCCAAGAGTACTTCCATCACTAGAACAATCCCAGCAACCACAACCACCTCGTAAGAAGGAATCCCTACGTTCCTGAAAAGCCTAGAACAAAATACTTAGGCCAGTACTTTGCAACTGTCCTTCTTTGGAGGCAATAAATCCCTGTCAAAAGAGAGCTGAGAAGACAAAATGATACTGAGCACCGAGGGTGGCTGTAATATTTTTTAGCTGGTGGAAATATCAACAGAAAATTTTATATGTATCTGTGTGTATATGGAATGCAAGGGAGATTTGAGTATGAAACTGTAACAGTATAGGTTGTTCATAGGTAATAGTAGCAAGACTAGAATACTCAGCTGAACTTTGGAAAACAGAAAAAAATGATTACCTTGTAAGGGACCTTGTAACTTTCTCCTAAGCTCCTCTTTTTGAGCTTAGTCCAATCCACAATATGCTTTCCTCTGAAAATTTGGGAACAGCTGGTGAAATCCCCACTAAGGACCAATTCATGGGCATACAAATACATGCTCTGTATTATGTTTAAGCATCAATTAAAAAAAAAAAAAAGAAAACAGATAGTAATATGTTGTAAGTTGTTGCACGCTGTAACTTGTTATATGATTCCTCTGTTGCACTGTGTCACCACTGCTGTCACTATCAAGACAGGACAACAAAGACAGACTTTGGCAAGGTTTACAAACTTTGGGTGAGGATGGACCCCATTGTTCCCAAGGCCATCCCTGCTAGGCAGGTGGAGTCTTCCCCTCCACACTTTTAAGACCAAAAAACGCAACCCAAGTCCTGAGCTTCACAGCCTCCTTAGCCTCCTGCCACCTCCCATCCCTCATGAGCATGTTTTCACACATGTTTCCATAGCAGCAGCAGGACAGCTGTCCAGTTCTTTTATTCATGGTATAACAGTCTGAGGCGAGTACAGTTGTCGTCTTGACAGATCAGAGTTCCTGTTATACTCACAAGGGTGATCTGCTGTCACTCATGCATTCAACAGCGCTCCATCAAGCACTCTGCTATCTTCTGTGCTGCAGCTAGAGTCGACACAGTCTTCCCCATTGTCCACTCCTCAAAAGAAGATGAGCCCTCCTTCGGGGGAGTGCTCTGCCAGACCCCATGAGCTACACACAGCCTCACCATTTAGCCAAGATGAATGCAAATTTTTCTTGGAGCTTCTAAGAGGACAGTGTGTGTCTTTGTGAACACCCTGGATGAGAGTCCTTCAGACTTGACTCATTATTTTATAAACCAAATATTTCCATTCTGTCTCTATCCTACTTGATGTACAAATATAGCTATTCTTGTGAAGACCCAAACAATGTTAGCAAAGGCGTATCCTTCCACACTTATCCTCCCCACACTTCAATAATATAATCTAGAATACAGTCCTCTGCTGGGAAGTATATTCAGAAAGAAATATAGTTCAAAGTTTCTTCCCTGACAGTGAATATGAACAACATATCCATGTCCTGGTACTCAGAGCTGCCAGGCAGGCCTGTTCAGGTGCTTTTGAAAAAGAATGCTGCTGTGTCCTATGTCAACAAGTAAGGCTGTACCAGTTCTCCCTAACTTTTCAAGGAAAGAGATGCCTCTTGGGATTAGTGCAGTTATCCATGATCTGTCTTGCAGGGAGTCTGAGCAGTCAAACAAACCATCTTCAGTTGCTTCAAACTGCTAGACCATGACTAGAAGATCTAGACAGCTGTCCTAGTACCAGTATTTCAACACTGTTCCTCTTTGTGTCACAATCTAATATCAAATGTCAGGCTTTATGTCCCAGATACCCGGGTTTATCTCTGGAAAGTTATTGATTTTTCTCATTGGAGACCCTTTTCTCATTTCTTCTCTTCTTGAAAGCATTTTTTCCAAGTAAAAGACAGAGCTCAGGCAATACTGTTGTCCTTAGAAAAAGACTAACTCCTGCTGTGCAGCTTACAAAGAATCTCACACTCACTGAGTGTCAGACTGTATGAAAGAGTGCTTTTGAGCTGTGAAAGGAACCTACAATTCTTTAAGGGCATCCCCCAAAACTGACCTCTCTTTGGGATGTTCCAAAAATTCCCATTTGAAAGGCAGTCAAATGGGGTCCCATTCACTCTTTTACTAAGCCTTACAGGCCTACTGAAGCATCTGGAGGTAGTACTATGTCCAGAGGAGCTGTCTGTAAGAGGATCTTCTGCCAGATATGTTTTCAGGGGTGCTGTGTATGGACAACCAATGAAAGGAGGAAGAATGGCTGCTTTTTTGCAGTTTTTCCTGTAAATATATCTATTTTAGACAATACATCTCCAATATTTCCTCTTACTCCTCTCTGTAGTCTAATTGAATATATAGATTCTTAGGATGAGAGGAACTGAAATGACTGGCTGTTCCACCCCTAATTTTACCATATGTGCAGTACACGGAGAGAGAAGGAAGGGATGTCTGTACAGATAATGCCAAAATAAAAAACAAACAAACAAACAAAGAAGACTCACAATGCTAACAATGCTGGCATAATAGTTTCCACAGTGTCAACACAGGCAAAGACAATGAATTTGGAAGAACTGTTACAGTTGTGTTTTTACCAAACTGTTCAATTCCCACAGATCCTACTTCCACTGAAGCCAAGAGGAATTCTGCCGTTAGTTTCAGCAGCAGTAGTGCTAATCTTGCCAGGCTTATTGTGGACTTCGATTCTGCTGATGCATATGTTTAGGAGTAGGCATACTGGGCTTGTGCATGAAGTTAATCACCTCTGTGAATGCTTGTAGATAGACTATTAGATTCTGATCCTACAAATATTCATGCTTGAACTCTACTTCAAGCATAACAGTGTTCAAACTGAATACGTTTTCTGTAGTTTTAAAGCCTCCTGGTGAAGGAGGCTATCACCTACACTGTGCTTTGAATTAGGTCCTCTACTTTCTTCACTGGCTCCTACTGTGGTGTGTAGGGTCCTTAGACAAAGTTCAGCTTCCTAAGGGGAAAGATAAGCAAAGTTACTTTCTCATGCTTCAATCCCATTTATTTGTGTGTGGTTGCATATTGAATTTTGGAAGAAATTATAATTATTAAACATGCAAAACCTGAAAAAGTAAATTTACTGTTCCTGAAAGAGTATCTCACTGTAATGATATTCCTAATACATGGCTTATATATTTTTCATAATTTTTATGTCAACCAAATTTTGAACAATGATATTAAAATTACAAATGTGAGTAGACAATATTATCATATTGAAGAAAATGTGCCTGCTCAGCTGTGTAAAAGGATACATGCTGTCTTTAGCAAATAATTTCTGAGGCTTTTCAAATAAAGCGGTGAACTGGTAATGGTGCCTGTCAATTGATGAAATAACCTATTTCACCTACAGATAGGATTTTCTTGTGATTGTGAGTAAATAAAATGTCTCCAAAGAAGCACGGTACCTTATTTGCAATTTTTTTTACTATTCAAGTCTTCCTGAGCTATTGGCATTCTTGAGTCCCAATCGGAGATGTTTTCTTCAGGAATATGCCATATACCCCTTTCTACAATTGTTTATTTCTACAGCAGTAAACATAGTGTTTATCATTATATTTCTTATATATCCTTTCCATAAATCACACTAATCAGAGAAGAAAATACTAGCTTTTATCCTTATTCTCACTGGTTTACATGCAATAAGGTGTCGTAGGCACAGTCCTCTGGACTTTATGATCTTCTAAATGTACTTGATGTTGAGTGCCATTTTGTTCTTATTGCCTACTGCTCACCAATGGTTTTCTCAATTTCATCCTGCCTAGCTTTTGAGAAATATCATCAAGTTATGAAGAGACTAACAATGAAAAGGAAATTAGTAGCTGGCAGCACTGCATCAGAAAAATTATTATTCTGTTATGATTACAAACAGTAGCATCAAATGTGAAAATAGACTTTCAAGTTAATTAACATTTAAGGGAAATGGGTTTGGAATAATTATCAGATTGCTTTTAAGCAGCTATGTTTACAAGCACATCTCTGCTTTCTATTAAGTCCTTGCTAGGGAAAAATAACAAATAAGTATACGTTTGAATCTCTTCTACATTCATAGCTTTTTACAAACAAAGGCTCAGCAGAATAAAAAAACAATGGTATTCCCCTGTTCCTCACAGCTCCAGTGAAAGTGGAAGTTGCCTATCCTTCCCAAAGGCAGAGTCTTTTATTGCTCCTACGTATGTGGGGGAATAACCACCCTCTTCTCCATGTCCCATACTGTGACTCTTCCAACATCCCTTAGGTGAGGGATCTTTGAGCAGACTGTGCCAACAGCCTGTATACATCCACTAGGACACCTCTCTGCAAGCCCAGTGAGGCTACTTCCAGCCTATTGCAGCTACAAATGGATGTAAAGAGACTAGATCTGATGCACTCTTCATCGCTATTCATACCTTAAGCACTATTTCACATACCTCTTCTCTTTTTCCCTCTAAGCCTGTCTAGTGTGTTCCAAAGGGACTGGTATAAGTGATCAGGGTCACAGAAGCTGTGCATCAACTTCATAGGAGCTAAAAGATTTAAAATAATCTGAACAACAGAAGTACTGAATGTTTTATTATATCCCATTTTCCCCTGAGCATTCCAACTCTGCAAGAAATAAATAAACAAATCATTCTTTATTGTCTTCTTCCTGCAAGGGTGGTAATAACTGGGAAGAGAAAAATAACAAAACTTGAGCTAGCTAGACTGCTGTTGTTATAAATGAGTAATCTTTGCACATTTGTGTCTACTTTGTTTAATATTTTTCACATACAGATATTTCATCGATTGGAAGAATGATGTGGACAGCTACTTTACAATAGATGCTACTGAAGGAACCATTGCTACTAATGAATTACTGGACAGAGAAAGCACAGCACAGTACAATTTCTCTATAATTGCAAGTAAAGTTAGTAAGTATGGCACAAACTGAATTAATATGCTAATGTGGTATTTTTTTCAGAATATAGTGCTCAGGCATAAATATGCTGTGAAGAGTATTGCCAAGAGATTAAGAAGGCCCAATAGATATCATTTTGCCAGACACTGTGAGGCTGTATGATGTTCAAACAGCCCTGTATAACAAGGTTTTTCTAGTAGCCCTCATGTAGGCACAGCTCCCTCAGAAGCTGAAAAACATTCCATCAGCATGAAGAGTACGAGGAGCTGTATGGAGACTTTCCAATCTTATTTCTGATTTTGCAATTCACTCCATATGAAATTAGGTTAATGAAATAACAGGTCTGTCAATCTGCTTTTTGAAGGTAGAAAAATTTAAAGACTCATTTGATTCTCAGACAAAAAGTACACTAAAATTGAGTCAAGCTTTAAGGCCCTAAATGAACCAGTGTGCTGCATCTTTGCTCTTGTGTTTTCTCTCTGCGCGAGACTTTATGCCTAACCACTTGTTTTCTTTTCCTATATAATTTGTGGTGGGGTTTTTTTTTGTTTCTTGTTTTTGTGTCTTCTCCTACATAGCTTTTTTTTTAATAAGAACTCCCTTCTTCCACTGTATTATGTAGCTGCAGCTTTCTTCATTGTCATCCGTCTGTGTAGTGTTCCTCCTTCGTGATCCTGTCAAACTGAAACTCTCATAGTGTATACCAATCTTTGAATACAAGTCTTTTGGTCAGTTAGCAGTTGGGTAAAGGCCACAGAAGTCTTTCTGTGGACATCAACAGACTGTAGAAGAGGAACCCTGCTATATTTCCTATTCATTCTGTACTGTTTACGTGTCCAGAAATGCAAGTTTCTAAAGCAAAGGACATGTTTTTCTCAATGTATTGCTTGGCAGTGAGTCTTCAAAAAATAATACATGCTACTAACAGGAAGAGGGAGATTTTGGAAGCAGAGAAGGTGGACATTATTTAAAATGAAAAAATAAATTCTCAGTTCTAGTTATCTCAAAAAGAACCATAAGCTCACTCCCTGGAGCCTGAAAATATAATGAGGACACCAGCCAAATCAAAACTTGAATTTTATCCGTAGCTTGGAAAAGGAATACACTAACAGAGGAAATTAATCTATCACAAGTAACTGAATATATGGAGACACATGTGCATGTGTATATTGACAGAAAGTCCAGCAGAACTGTAATTTGTTTCCAGAGAAACTGAAAGGCAGGTAGATGCAAAGGGGAGGTCTCATAATGGTCTATGTTTCAGTAAAGCTTAATTATTTAGATTTATTGGTGGACAAAGAACATTTGAGATTTGTAAATTTTTTCTGCAGTAAGGCAGTTTTAGTAAACTTGGTGTGAATCTGTTTATTATTCCCAAGAGTAATTAAAGCTAGCAAAAACCTTCAAGTCTACTTGTCTGTGCACCTTCCTGGCACATATATAGTAATATCATGTTTATGTAGAGCTGTATCATGTAGGCTATATTATGGAATTCCCAATTTTAACAACTGCTTAGATAAGAATCTACACCTAAGACATATTTATGATTCATTTCAGTATACGTCAAAATATTTATACATTGACCATTATCCATAGCATTAAAAACAATTGTCATACCAGTACTACACCAGTAATTGGCAATATTTTGGAGGATTTGAGGTATACTAACTGTCAAAACTTTATATGCAGTTGTCTGACTAAGAGCTAGCACAGAAATAAAGGCTGAGGTTTGAGGGATGACACACTGCACATAACCAAAAAAGGTTAGAGAGAAGAGAAGAAAACGAGGGGGAAAAAAATTACTATAATTGAAGAATTTCTGCTATCAAAAAATTGCCACTCATTCAGTGCTGACGTAGAAACACTGAAACTGCCATCTCTTATTAGTGAAAAAGTGCACTGAACAGTGCCTTGACATGATTACCTAAAGAAAGTGATCCGGTATTGCAATCAGTTGCATAAACTTGCCTCAGGAATGGACACTATTGCTACCTAAGTATTTTCAGTTCTCCATGACCTTGTCTCTTTAAAATAAACAGACTCCAAACTAGTAATAGGCATATTAAGTTCTGTTACTTAAAATACTTTATTGCTAAAATTTTTGCCTTCTCACTGTGAGAGAAAAACAACAAAAAAAATCCCACCTTTTAGACACATCCTAATGGTCATTCTGCAAATTATCTTTTCTTGAACAGGCCAATTATAAACAAAGACCACCAGCTCTATCCCCATCAAGTCAGAGAGAAAAATAAATTAAACTGGCTTTGACATCATTCCCCTATATGTGGAAAATGATGCCAAGGTCATGAGCAGGCTTGCATGGACTCCCTGCCTGTGCCTTAGCCCTGGGGCCTTCTAAGTGATTGTTCCCCTTTGTTCTTCTGTAGCCTCAAAATGAAACCCTGTACAAATCACAGATGATGTTTGTGTTACATTTTTTCTCACAGCCAGTAAAGCCTTAAAGTAATATTATGACTTTTGAGCAATCGCATTACCTTTCAAACAATGGCACAAATGGCATGCAGTTTAGATATCTAAACATAGCAGCAGGCAATTGATAAATGTAAATGTAGATATGGATGTACCATTTAGACTTTTCTTACAAGCTGATAAGTCTATTATTAGCACTAAAGCACCAGAAGTTACAATTTTTAAAGGAATACATTTAAAAAATAAGGCAGAAGAGAATTACCTTGTGTTTATTAAAGTAACCTTTGCTGATATCGCCTGTTGTGGAGAAAAAAAAAAGTCTTGTTCAAAAGCCTGGTTGTTTGGGAATTTGTAAACGTTTTCATGTCCAGTGCCCTCATTCTGCATTTATATGACATATTATTCATATTTATATACGTACCGAGATTATTCTTCCCTAAACTCCAGATCCTGCCCCTTCATCCCTGCCTACACCAGTCATGGTTCAGGTTGGCAGCTTAAAGAGAGGTAGAACTTGGACCCTTAGCAAACAGTTAATTATGAAATCTGCTTGTCCTAGGCTTGCTTGTGTCAACTTGAACACTCACAGCCAGGGAAGTCCTGGTTACCCAGGAATAACACAGTATATCTTGCATATGGGCAGTAGCTGCTGGTTCCACATAGGGAACTGGGATAAGGGAAGTTATTCTACCCAAGTTATGCAATGACAAGCTCTGACCATGTATCATTATACTCTGATGTTTATTTCTAACCCTGAAAAAATTCCAAACATCTGATCTAAACACTGTCTGGGAATCTGTCTCCAAATAGCAGTGCAACTGACTCTTGAGAACATCTCAGAGCTGTACCCAGTGTGGACTGATGGATAGCCTACTGTCATGTTTAACACAAGACACCATAACTTTATTCTCACTCTTGTTAACGAAGCCTGTCCCAAAGTAGAAATGTTTTTAAGTGGGAGATGGATGATTGTTCTGCTGACACACAGATGATGACACAGAACTGAAGGCAGCTGAAGGCAGAAGGTCCCTTACGCATCCGTAGAAATAAAAAAATCAACCTTTGTATAGAACAAAGTGCATGAACAGGGAGGGGATATTTCAGACTCACATTTTTCCCCCATTTAACTTCCCAATTTCTCCGTACTTCTTTTCGCTCCCTGACTATATTTCATTTTAGGTTTTTTTTTCTTCTTAGAGTAAACACCCTAGTAGCCTTCATGCTTGCTGTTTCTGAACATTTTTGATCCCACAGACTCTGTCCAAACTAATAAATTAAACATGGCTTGCATTTGTTTCAAGCACAAAGGCCAGCTGGTACTGAGTAGCCTATTTCTATGACATTAAACAATCTTACCTTCCAAACAGGTTGCCCACATGTAAATTGATGTTTTGAGAGTGGTCCCTTACCCATACTAACTCCCAGAACATGCATGTGAATTGTCTGCAAGACCACTAGTTGCCCCAGGCCAAAACTGTGCCAAGGGGTCCTGTTATAACATAACGGTATAAAAAATCACAGTCCAGTGCTCAAAAAGTTGCCCAGTGTACTGCTCATTTACCTAGTATGGAAATGGTTTTTGCATCTTACAAAAGAGGAAATAGATTTACAAAAGGGGAAATAGATAAGATGCATAAGATCTTATTTCGGCTTTCCTGTCCTCAAGGTGCTAGTTAAGGTTGAAAATCGATGTAAAGTAACCACAATCCTTCCTGTCCAAACCATCTTCCCAACTCCTCTAACTCTAGGCCCCAATTTTATGAATGCTAAAGAAACCTCAGCTTAAATCTCAAGATGGGGTTTATCTTCTCCTCCATACCATAACTGGGATTAAGGAATCGCCACTTCTCAATGGTCAGTATCTATTTTCTCAGATATCTTGGATTTTCACAAGTTCATTAGTCAAAGTATTCTACATATTTTCTACTCCTGTAATATCCTTGAACCATAAAGATGTTAACAGGTGATGGTACTCAAGCCAAAGAAGGAAGCAGGGTTGTCAGTGTCTTACAGACAGGAAAACTGAGGAAGGAAGAGGCTAATTACTTGCCTGTATCTTACAGACAGAATTGAAACCTGAAATCTGTTTCTTAATTGCTAGGCTAATGATTTCACCAACTTGTCTTCTCATCTGTGTAATCTGGGTCTAAAAGGCATGAGCAGATGTTTTCAGTGACTCACTCACTGATACCAGCATACATGTCACTGGTGTGCTCACAGGGCTCAAAAACATTTGATTCTGAGACAAACAGCAAACAAAACAAAAACAGAGAAAATGAAGGTCAAGTCTGCAAAGTGGTATTTGAAATGCAATTCTTCAGCCTTGTTCAGATCAAGTATTACAGGTCTTTGCAATTATATATGAATTCAAAACTGTACACAATCTTCTTGCAGTCTTCTTTTATATACATGAGTAGTCAAACTGATATCAGTGCAAACCAGAAAGAAAATTAATCACATAGATAGTGAAACCCAGAAGCAGGTTCACCTTGTGCTGTAGTAATTCTGTTTACTTTCATGTTTGATTGTTGCTGACCATTCATGCAAGGTAAAATTCTACCTTGCTAAAATACTTAGCAATAAAAGATTTTGGCCTCTAATATATCTTTCAAAGAATCGTAGAAAATAAATCACAGGCCATCAGTGAGAAATAAATGTAAGAAGTATGCTCATATTCATGTATATTTCCAAAACATGCTACCCTATTGTGATTTTAGGGAAAGGCAAAATGTCAAATCCCTTTGTTCATTTCAAAAATATACAGTCCCATATTAAGTACACTGTTCCAATAAGCTGAAAAAATAATTTACGTAAAATACTTCAAAAAATATAGCCTAAAAAGACTTCTTATACAAACTGATAAGTTTAATAGAAATTATCACAGTTAGCTAATATCTCCCATGTACATGATGCATAAATTTTGAATACATTCATTCTTTTACTGGAAAGACATTGTTAACATATTTCTAAGAGGAAATGAACTAACATCTATGCCTGTACTTTCATGGCAATGCATTAAACTCTAATGTGTTTGAAGACTGTACCCTGAACTCCTGTTGTTCAGTATTGTTCAGTACCTTAAAATAAAGACACAGAAACTAAAGTAAAACCTGAGTTACACTGTGTGAGTTGCTGTATTCTTTGCAGCAGGTCCCACTAGAAGGGAAGTTTTAAGTTAGGTTGCTTCTGCCAGTAACTGTGTGAACTTGACCTACTCAGGGCTTTTCTGATCTCTGTATATATTCAGAGTTGGTGTCCTGTCCTCTACAGATTAAAATAACTTCTTAGTACTTTTTTGTTTCCTATTATACAAAGGAACTAATTCAACTGTGACAAGCGATCTAGATTTCGTCTGGTTCTTTGGGCATCTAAAGAACCACTGCCTAATTCCCTGCTGCTAGACCAAACTGTCTTCTTTCATACTGCACAATGCCTTTCTCCACAGAGACATCCTTACAGAATGTAAGGATGATGCTGAACTGGAAATGAATGAGGATTAAAAAAGATATTATTAGATATGGTCACTATTAAATATGTTCAGAAGAAGGAACTACAAATATTGTGTGATTTGGATAGTGTTTTTTTGTGGGGGTTTTTATTAGATTCCAAGCTGAGTTTGTAGGCTGGTCAGTTTATCCACTACTCGTAAACAGATAAAGCACACTTCTACTTGCAGCTGGTCCTACTTAACTAGGAAATCATTGAGGAATAACTTTTGGCTTTGACAGAGGCCTCTTGAAAACACTTCATTTAGTAGTTCCTAAGAAAAAGAAAGAAATAATGTAAAATTTCTACAGTGCCACCATGAAAAGACTTTGCCCTTTGCTGTGTTAGTTATAAACAACAGAAATGCAAAGGTTTATACAAACTATGAACAAAGCAGCTAATGCAAATAACTGGGAGGGTCCATTTATGTCTGAAGATTCAGGAAAACTGTTCCTGTACTTAACCATGACCCCATGCTGTCACTCCTACACCACCCTGATTCATAGCATAGATTTCTTGAATAGTTGACTGTGTCTGTATAGTGGCTGCCACTCTTCTTAAATGCAAAAGGATAAAACAATTATCCTTTTGACTTACCAGCTAAATTGTTTTTATGTATCTGCTATCTTGCAAGGGGTCTCAGCATAAAGTAAAAGAGAATATTGTCTGCTTTGTATTGAATTTGTGTCTCCTTTCTGTCAGACATTGCATTTATAGGTAAACTTGTTTATAAAATGTGTCTAGTGACTGATGAAGATCGTCTGCATTGGCAGGACAATGAAAAGAAGCATAACGTATACTGTTTTTTACCATTGCTTTTGCACAAAAGTATTTGCTGCTTGAAAATACTTATGCAGTTAAAGAAATAACTGTTACAACGTAGCCTAATGGTTTAACCACAAGTTGAATGCTAGCTCTATATGTTTCGCTGCTAAATTTTCCACTGACCCTGGCTTTCCGCAATATTTTTCTTTATATGTTTCTCTCTTACTTTTCTCCATCTTCTAAATGGGTATGCTCCACTTACTTACCTCCTTAACATCTTGAAGATGTAAACGGTGGCTAAGTAATAAATACTGATTTTCTGCATTCCATTGTGGAAAACAGAATTCAGTTTTAATCATTGGAAGCATTTTCCACAGACTCCATGAAAAGTGACCTGAGAAAAGTTTGCATCTTTAATTACAGGTACAACTTCAAATTCTTTAATTTATACTCTGATAAACGTAATCATGTTGATTGATTCCTTATTCCATGAAGAGTAATGGATCAAAGTCTGGTACAAGACGATAAGAAGTTTGTTCCAATTTTTCCTTAGTACAAATCAGAAATAAATGAAAGTCAAGGGCTTTTAGAAGTCACAGTACTGGGATCAAAACAGTTTATGACAACTCATGGGTACTAGTGATGACAACAAACATAAATAGTATTCCTTAATGCTTTTCTCCTCAAAATCATTTATAGGTAACCCACTATTAACCAGCAAAGTCAACGTTATAATAAATGTCCTGGATGTCAACGAGTTTCCTCCTGAAATTTCAGTTCCATATGAGACATCTGTATGCGAAAATGCCAAACCAGGACAGGTATTTCAAATTTGTAATGCTTGCTATTTTGCTTTTTCTTTCCTTATTATTTACAGCAATAGAAATTTTGGGGTTTGAAAATGACATCATGGTTAGAATTCTTTTACAAATAAAATGTCTGTGTTGGAAATACCTTTTGAAATTCTGTTTGTTGACCTTTATGGTCTATTTATGGTCTATTTTTTTTTATTGTCCCTGATTATATGGGCCTGAGCCACCCTTTACTGCGCATTTAATAGCTAGGACAGGAGAAAGAATCCCTTCCTTAAAACCACTTAAAGATAAGGGTAAAACTGCAGTGAATAAATGGAGTAGGATGGATTACACGCATTTCTGTGTCCTCTTCTGAGAAAAAGAATCCACAACCCCAAAGACAATCCCCCTGAAAGGTTGGTTTTATAAGCAGTTTCAAATATATACTGCAAAACCTATTTCAGATTCAGAATATCACCTTATACCATAAGTGATGCCAGTATTAATAGAGCTGGCCCCAGAAGCTGTTGGCATGTGCTCCTTCTGCACAAAATTTGTGCAATTAAATACAGTGCTGCAAAGCACCAAGGCCAACTGTCATACATATTAACAGCTAATACTGTTTCCAAGACAAGACTTGTAACTTCAGCTGTTCAGCTTTGAGAGTTGCCAACCATGGAAGGAACATATTCAGCCTGCTGTGTAATCAGTGACTTCTCTTTATATGTATGTAATATGTAATCAGTCCATGTGATTTTTATTGCCTTTATTACAGATTTGTCCATGACCTCACATGATATTTGTACCTCATCTTTTCTTTTTTTTTTTTTTATATGTTTCAACTAACTACCATACAACCTAATTTAACCTCTAGTTTGTCAGATACCTTTAGCTAGTACCTTATCCAGGCACTAACAATAGAAAGGGGAACCTTCTACAGGGAAGGCTGAGATAAGCACTGAGCTGTCAAAAAATATAAATATTTAGACCTTTGTTACATAAAAAAACCGCCTTCCTTTTAAAAGATCAGTGGCAATCCTACTATGAAACATTTTAACTGCTCTATGCTTACCTGAAATCTAGTTGATAGGACTCTGGGACCCAAAAGTTCCTTCACGCCTATATGGTGCAGACCTTTCAACCCTCTCTGCTTCATTTCAAGCTGTAAAATTAGGGTGCAGCTTTTGTTGTAGAAGTACTACAACAGGTACCAGTTGTAACAGTGATAGTAGTAGTAGTAGATAAAGTGAACTGTCTTTAAGTAATCACTCACCTGAAAATAGTCACTAGTATTTTGATAGAAAAACCAAACAGTAAATACTTCTGCTATGAATATAGGGTAAATCTTTCTGATTTCCTTCAGATATGTCAAAGTGAGACCTTTGGAGACACCATGAGTCATCTGGAGGCTATAGTATTCAGTCTTCCTGCCTCTACTGTCCAATATATTAGGGGAATGAGAGTAATCCAGCAGGATTTCACTTTCATTGTTTCATTTGATGTTCGCTTTGCACTCCTACAAAACTGCCTCTTTTAGAAGAGTGAACTGACTTCAGAATTAATCTTAATCTGGTTTCAGGTGATACAGACTGTCACTGCAGCAGACAGAGATTTGTCACCAGCTGGGCAAAGGTTTTCCTTCAGACTGTCAGCTGAGGCTTCCAACAAACCAAATTTCACAGTCCATGACTACAGAAGTAAGTTGCTTACCCATATCTCTCTTTCAGAGCAGCAGGCTGTGATTATAATGACAAATATGATTACTTTGTATTACAGTCGTGTCTACAGACTTTTTTATTTGACATTTCTAACTGTTGAACTATCTAGGACATACATTAATATAAATTCAGGTCTTGCACCTTTTCTCATTTTTAGGGGACAGGAATTGTCAGAACATCAAAGTTTTTTTTTCCCTACAGGCCTGCAAGAGCACTGCTACCTGTTTTATTTTCTTCCTTTTATCATTCAGTATCTCAGGAAGAACACATGCCAATGCAGGTATACCTTTAAACAAGGTACTATTGCTGCCTTGTTTAAATACTATTACTTTGCTAACTGTTCTCAAAGTACTCAGCTATTGTGCTTTCTGGAGGATGCATAGTTCTGCAGAAGAATTAGTTCTAAATATGGACAGTGCTGCTGTAGTATAACATTCCACAACACTCAATAATTTCTAGACTTATATAATTAACATCTCCGATTTTTCCCTCAATTTTTGTCATAGCCGATCGTCTTTTTTTCATTTTCACTTGAATGCGTTTGATAAATGGCAAAGGACAACCCAAGATGAAAAAATTGATCTTTTTTCCTATCATAAACATCTTCAAGCATGTAGTCTTGTGAACAGACACAGCTAAAACATCATAATAAACTGTAGTAAATTTTCACCACTAATTACTTTGATCAAATAAGGAAAAAAAATTAACAATGAGTTTATCAGCTATTAGGTGATCTTTAAAGAATTGTGATATGATAAGCTTTTCATAAAAAAGGATTTACATTACTCTGCAAAGAAAGAACACCTAAAGCCATCCAATAAAGTTCAGTAACATTCCTTCGCCTATTAAACTATGTAGGTTATAAGTATTACTTTTAAGAAAAAGGATGTAATTCTTAATTTTTAAAAAATTTATTAATTATATTTATTATTATTTTAATTTAAATTTGAGATGATACTGAGTATGATATAAAGGTTCCTTTCTTGAGAATTAAGTAACCCAAAGCTTAAAAAGTGTTAGACATGGATAATACACAGAATGAAAAAAATTGCAGAGGCTACTTATTTAGCCTTTTTTACAACCATTTACGTATATGACTTACATTATTTTTGAAGCCATACACTTTTGTCAATGTTAGGTGATACAAAATTAAAGCCAGCAAAATAAGCACAACTATTGATCATGAAGACCTTTATCATTAAGAAAGTTCAGGAAGAAATAAATTTTAAACTGCAGAAAAATAAACTATTCTTATTATCTCATTTTATATAGCTTCTCTGTGAAGATGACAAGACAAAAATGGTTTGCTCCCAAACTTATTAGTGACTTTTATCTTAGTAGATTATAGATAGCTAAAAACATTTTATAGATGAGCAAAGAATTTCACTTAATTATTTGTAAATACAGTATATAATGAAACCATAATAATTCATAGTATTGCAGACATGAATAATAGTAACTTATGAAACAAAAAATATGCAGATCAGCATTATATCAGAGGCCATTCAAATAGTTTTCTTGAGACAGACAGCTCAATGAATATGAAGGACAACCTTATAATGGATTCAAGTCACCTTACTTCTATTCTTGGAAGATTAGGTCATCACTGTTCTCCAGAAGTGCTTAGTTTAAACAGTTTGGTTTTAAAAGCTACTAGTATTTAAAAATCTTGTGGCATTTCAATATCTAACTAGAATTATGCCAGGCAAGATTTAAATGATTTTCAGCTGTGTCCCACTGGACTTAAAATTTTGGATAATGCTTGAGTTTGCTTCCCCTTAATTCTGCACTGTAGTTTCTGTTATTTTCTGTTCCCTACTTAGCTGTTGGTAGCATTTCCTTGGAAATCTCAGCATGATGAACTTTGCTAGTGATTACAATTAAAAAGAAAACAAAAACTTCTCTATATCTTAACAGAAGAAGGAAAATATACCTCTTTAGATCTTCCTCATATTTTACATGAATTACTTTCATCTTTTCACTTAACACATTTGAAGGACCATGTGGGTAGTATCTTCATAGTTATGTAGTCTTATAACATGAATACTGTGTATTTCTAAATACCTTTTCTCTTTTGGTCAAGATTTCTTTAAAGTAAGAGCTTTTATTTCTTTCTTTCTGCCCATTTACTAAAATACCCTTTAATTTCACCAAGATTTATTTTTTTTCAAATAATTTCAAAGTATTGTTTTAAATATAAGTCTTTCAATTCTTCTCTGGTCATTTTAATGTATTTAATTTCTCAAAAGAATCTTTAAACTTAGAAAGGCTATACAGTTAAATAAACTCAATGACCTTGCTCATTTACAGCTTTTGTGAAGTGTGCTTAGCCTATAAGTTCGGTGAGAAAATTTCTCAAATATTATTAGATAATTAAATTTCCCTTTTTAAACCAGTAATGTTGACACCAAGATGACTTTGGATCTCAGTAGTCTGTTAGCAAACTTTCTCTACTGTATAAAAACAAATGCAATATTCCCATAAAAAATGGGATTAGAAACCACCAAGACACACAATTTTTCATGGATAAATGTTTATGTATATATGTACCTATATATACACTCTTAAAAGCATTTCTAAATAGTCACTAAAAAAGAAGAAAGAAGTACACTGTTTATTGAAACATAAGGAAGACAGAAAAAAAGGTTTTGCGGAATATTTTCCAACCATAAAAATCCTTTTAACTTTTGATGATTTTACAGAGCTATTAGAAAAATCTGTCCAAACAGGAACTCCATGCAATATTTTTAATATCTTCTGCCTTTTGTTTGCCAAAAAGGTGGAAGGTCTGCTCTGTGCACAATTTAGAGTTATAATAACACAACCTTATTTTCACTACAGAAACGTTTAAAAAACATAAATACTATTATCCTTTGAGTTAGCAATTATGTTAGTACCGAAAGGTACTTTGTGGAAGGAATTTTGATTTTTTTTTTAGGAAAAAATCTTGTTCACTGTCGTACAATTAACGCTTTTACCAGTAAAGGTGTCATTTAACGTTTTCAAACACATCAAGAAGCCCAATAACCAGTGCTATTCTATACAGCTAAAAGTCATGGGTGGTGTGATATTACAGCAGGTTTAACATGTTTGTAGAGCACCCAAGAGAACAAACTTTTCTAGGTTCCATACTTCCTTAGAATATAACTTAATGAGGACAGAAGCAAGATGGAAGCTCAAGGTGGCCATTTGGAGTCTTTATATATATAAACACAGGGAAATGTTATGTTTCTAGACTATGCCTTCAGCAGCGCTGAGACAATCCACCAGCTGTGAATAGAAGTGAGAGGCCCTGACAGAGCTGGTGTGCTTCCAGCTGAACTGCCCACCTTCCTCTTTCCACTTTGCTGGCCTCACTCTGCTCCCTAGCAGGCTGCTTCCCTGCCAAGCACACTCAGTTGGCTCATGTAAGGGAGAGAATTTTCCTTCTCTCCAGACTGTCACACACATCCTGAAAATGAATCTATTGTCAACAGACTGAAGAACCAGAAGCTGTCTCAGCTTCAGACTGCAGCTCCAGGCTGCTCTGTGTAGAGTTCAAACACATGCCTGTGTCCATATTTTCAAAAGGACCCTGACCAATTGAAAGGCGTCATAGAAGAGCAACAAAAATTGTTCAAAGTCAAAGACTTAAGAGCTTGATCTGTTTGATTTTTCTCAAAGGAGAATGGAAAGTCATTTGGTGGCATTGTAACATGTAGTAATGTAATCTTCAACATTGCAATTAGAAGAAAATTAAAAGAATAGAAATAATTCTATTAATAGAAATAGAAATAAGAATAGAAATAAGAATAAGCTGGATGACTCCAAATCAGATCTAAAACTCTTTATACAGTGCAGATGATTAATCATAGAAAGAACAAGCTGAATATGGGTCGGTTTGATTCAAACAATTTTGAGACATTTTTCTTTTTCAAAACTAAATGTCACTGAACTTGACATGTCCATATGCCACGTTTGAGTTTGATAAAAAGGGGGCTTCTGAAATAAACATTTTGTCAGTCAAGATCTTTCTCAATGGTGTTTGATCATAACATATCTGTTTTTTGATATTTAGGGTTCCTTCTTATTGTCTTTAATAAGAGCTGCACACAAGTATCTGAGTGTTGAATTCAGAGCCCTTAATCCTACCTAGTGACAAAACTCCAGGAAGGGATGAAAGTCATAACATAGACAGCAAGTGACCTCTTCTAAAGATATAGTAAAGCACATGGGTGAGATGGCAAAAGGGTGACTGCTGCAGGCTACCTTCCTTCAGATCTGTCAGCTAATTAATTCCCTGCTAATTTCATTTTGGTTCTGCTTTCAATGTAATTCTTTTAAATTGCACATCATTTCCTTGCTACTCTGTTTGATTCAAGAAAAGCAGTGATTACTGGATATCTACTGGCAAGAAATTACAAAATGTAACTTCTAGGGCTTCTGAACACATTCATGATTAATTGATGGGAAATGTACTGATTATAAAGTACTCAGTTCATTTCTGTATTTATTTTTAATGGGGCAGGAAAGTTGAAGGGGTTTTGCATTTTGTCTAGGTATATTACTTTCAGTTTTAAGGGAAATTAATTAATTAATAGAGACTTGATTCTAAATCCATGGGCAATCAAAGTCCTTTGGACCACAGGCTTGGAATATAAGGAGATAAGGAGAAAAGAAAAACTGAAAAGCCTTCCTGATCTAATACCTGTAATGCTTTTTTAAATTATTATTTATGCCTTCTTTGAAATTTTAGCTGTCAAGCTAACCAGTTTACAATAAATGGAATATTATTTAATGCTCTGCAAAAAATAGCTGTACCAGTCAGAATACAATACCTTCTGTAATGATAAACCAAGGCAATTACATGAAGGATGTCATTCACTGAGTTTCAAAAATGGAATAGCTGCCTATTACTAAAGGTGATACAAACTACAACAGTGAACTGAAGCACAAAATAAAAATCCTGTAATGACTGTGTCATGTTTTACAGACAACACTGCTGGGATTGAAACCAGGAGAAATGGTTACAGCAGAAGGCAACAAGAGCTGTACTTTCTTCCAGTAGTAATAGAAGATAGCAGTTACCCTGTCCAGAGCAGCACAAACACAATGACTATCCGTGTTTGCAGATGTGATTCTGATGGTACCATACTGTCCTGCAACGTGGAAGCAATCTTCTTACCAGTAGGCCTCAGCACAGGAGCGCTGATTGCAATCTTGTTGTGTATTGTTATACTTCTAGGTTAGTTCTCATGAAACCATGTGAAGTACATTACTCTGCTTATTCACCTGTGAATTAATTTACATTGCTATTAGCTTCATCTACTGTTTAACAAAAGCCATTGAAAATGTGTGGCTGTTTATGAGAACTTTTATGCTTCTACGTTTCTAGAAAAGCATCCCAAAGCACTGACCATGACCGTGACTCTGCTAACACCTACATATTTCTTATTGCATGAAGAGAACCAGTTTCAGTGGAATCCAAAACATAATATTTTCTCTGAAAAAATTTTGTTTAAGTACTTTTCTTGAAAAATTAATAGTTTTAGATTATTACTAACGTAGACAAGTCCTACTGATAGTAACAGCAGTAAGGACTTAGTAAGGGCCTTTATTTAATTCTTCATGGCAATTTGAGCAAAAGGAGAACAAAGAAATGAGAGAGGAGAAAATAATTGTAATGTAGACTCTGACTGGCTTGATCTATCTAAACCTTTACAGGAATATTTTAATTTCAGGCAGGCATTGATTCCATAAGGTGGCATCATCATTTGATCTACATTATATTTAAATATTGCCTTATTTATGGCATGCCCAAAGTAGTCAATACTCATGTGCATCCTACTTATAATATAGCCTTAATGAACTGACAATGAAAGAAAAACAACTTTGTATCTTACACAGGCACAATATGGACTGCAGAAAGCAGATTCTTACAGATGCTAGCCTATGTCTCTTTTTGATACTAGTGGGTTTCCTAGATCTCACGCTTATGTAGGTCTACTGCATAGGCAAAAATAGCTGCAGACACAGAATATAAGATATGGATACCTCTTTGCATTTGGATATTATAGTAATTTACCACTTAAGTAACTTACTACAGGCTCAGGGTTACCTAAATAACTTCTGAGTAGCAGTGGTTAAAAGTCAGGATATCTGCCCTGTGTAAAAATTTCATGTTGTGAGAAAAATGTTGTTTCAAATCAGAATGAGAATGGCAAATGGAATAGGAATTAATAACAAATACACCCATTCTGAAGAATTTAAAAACAAAACAAAACAACGTTAGGTCAGATTTTCGAAAGCACGAAGAATGCTGTCTCCTTTACCACAATTTCTTGGGACTACTTTTTTACATTTAGGGGTTTCCTGGTTAAAAGCAGTCAGGGGTGAGCCTCAGCATCAAAGAAATTCCATTATGAAAAAAGCTTTAACTTATTTTCACACAAAGAGATAAGTCAATTAGTGTTCTGTCTTAAGGCAGGATTCCCAGGATATCTAACCTCTCTGTTACAGAGCAAAGTGCCTAGAAGCCCTAAACACATAGCTGTAGCAAAGCCTTTCAAGTTGCCACCTTTGTGTCCAGTAATCTGGATAGTGTGAACTATGCAGCAGAGAGCTTGGTGCTCTTGGTACAGAGATCATTTACAATGGCAGAGTATCTGGGGAAGCAGGAGTACCTGAAGTCTGAATTTCCCCCAGATTTGCTAGGTGATCATGGAGGCCTTAAACAGAACTGTGTTTATGTTTCCTAATGGTTTGTTGAAATGAATACAATTTTTATTTAAAAAAACCCAGCATATTCAATCAAAAATAATTATGTCAAAGAACTCTTTACCAGATCTGCTGCTGTCTGCTGCTGATTGATGCTCTTAGCATATACAAAACTAATGAAGATATTTTAATTCCTGCCTTGTACAGAATGCTAGATAGAATTACTCAGATTATGTTTGGAAAAGAGGTTTTGGTCCTTTAATAACTCCTTTTGTTCCAATCAGACTGGCAATATTACCCAGAAAAACTAATATATAAATAATGAGATCTCCAGTGCTGTGTGTAACCTAAGAGAATGGCATTTATCTTATATCCAGACTTTCTCCTTACTATAGCAATGATCAATTCAAAAACTGCTTTTGGATTTTCATTTCTTGCTGTGAACCTGGCCTGACACAGAGTCATTAAAATTTTAGTTGAAGTCATTCTTGTAGAACTCATTTCTACACAAAAGACAGTCAACATGTTACCAGAATCAGGAGTTATTTTAGGCCACACAAGCCTGACCATGAATTTATAACCATTGCAACTCCTGTATTCATTATTGTGTAACTTCAACAACAGCACTTAGAACACTGTCATTTCTACCAAAGGCAGTTAGGGAATTAGAAATAACAAAAAGGCCAGTTTACTACGAGCAGATTTTGCATTCAATGAAATATATCTCCAAAGACAAACTATTGAAACCTCCCCCCCCACAATCTGATTGCCATTGAGTTGTCATTTGGAATAAAAACAGTTTGTCACATTTTATATTATATAGAATCACAAAATCACAGTTGGAAGGAATAAGGTCTCCCCTCAGCCTCCTCTTCTTCAGACTAAACAACCCCAGCTCCCTCAGGCGCTCCTCGTAAGACTTGTTCTCTAGACCCTTCACCAACTTCGTTGCCCTTCCTTCGACACGCTCCAGCACCTCGTTAAATAATTTATCCCTCTCCAGTATCCACATTGCCAGTAATTTTATAGATTAATATCCTATTCCCCCACTCCTACCTGAGCTGTCTCTCTGAAACAAGTCATAGTTACTATGCATATGTAGTTAGGTCTCTAATGCCACTGAGTTTACTAGAGGTTAGGAGCCGAAGTACACAGGATGGTTTTAATATAAGTCAGAGAATAGATGAGGTTGGAAGGCACCTCTGAAGATCATCTAGTCCAACCTCCCTGCTTACAGCAGAGTCAGTTAAAGCAAGTTGCGCAGGGACAAATCCAGTTGAGTTTTGAATATGTCTAAGGATGGACACAACACAACTTCTCTGGGCAACATGATCCAATGCTTGACCATTCTGACAGTCAAGAAGCTTTTGCCTTACGTTTTAATGGAATTTCCTGCATTTCAATATGTGCCCATTGCCTCTTGTCCTGTCACTGGGCAGCACTGAGAAAAGCCTGGCTCCATCTTCTTTAGTTCCATCCATCAGGTATTTATACACGTTGATAAGATCCCCTTGAGCCCTGGGAATTATTTTGACTGGGACCACAGTGATGAAAGTAAGATAGAAAAAAATCATCTGGGGATTTTAGTTGCAAACTAAAGTTGAATAAAGGAAGTTTATCAATTAAATTAAGAGAACATAAAAAAAACCCAAACAAACAGGAACTTACCTTACTTTTGCTCAAAAGAGCAACTGTTTCTCATGTTCTGATAACTTATCTGGCTCTTGATTTAAATAAGAAGAGAAAAGGAATCAGGTTAGTATAGATTTGCCATTAAGAGAAGGTTGTGAAGGGGTGTAATATAAACTTTGATTTTCATTTACACTTAAATGTCACCTCAGTAGGGTTATTATTAGGGGTCATTTCATTATTTTTTTTCATGAAGGTTTATAAAGTTCAAAAATATTCCTGTACACACAGGATTTGAATCTCTGTGTTAATAATAGTTATAAAACTAATAAAATAACTGCAAAGAATTTACAACCCCAAATCTCAGCAAGTAAAATCCAGTCACTACTCTCATATGAAATGCCCGTAGCCCAGAGGATTATTATATTTTCTTCCTGTATTCATTTAATAAAGATTTGTTATTTCATAGCAACACAGTATTAAGAACTCTTTCATAACAATAATGGAGGTAAATCTAAAATGAATATAGCATCTGCAGAACCACATTTTTTACTAGTGTGAAGGATCAGTTGTGTTTATGTGGATTTGGACATCTTATTCTTAAGGCAAGAATATTTTCAAGTCTCTAGAATAATATTGTCAGTAATCTGTTGAGTCATTTACTGCTCTTTGCTCCATAATGAACTCTGCTTCCATAACCTAGAGTAATTCCTTAGTAACTGTGATTTTATTTTGAACCACAAAATTTAAAGAAAATTTAGAAAATAAATAAAAATCAAGAAAGTATAAAATATTCAAACATATCTTTGTGCAAGAGACATCATCTACTGACATTGCTTTCCAAATTTTTGCTATTTGATTCACTGACAATATTGCAAATCTGCATTTCAAGAATAACAGCCTTTTCAGATTTGTGTGGTAGCATTCTTAAATCCAAATATTAGCAGTTTTTTATGTACTGATCCCACAGAGAAATTGTCTGAACTTTCCTAAATAGTGGCATTTTCAGCTTTCTTGGGAGGGCAGGGAAGACTTTTTCCTTCTTCCCTGAAATTCCTTTCAAATATTCTGTCACATATTTCTCTTCAGTTCTGTATGTCCACAATGGAAGCTTATCAGCTAGATTTCCTTAGATACGTCCCTTGTTAGCTGAATGCTTTACATTTAGACTTTTATTTCAGGACCACTAGTCCATGTCATAACTACTTAACTTAAAACATGGATTTTTTTGTGCCAGTGAAGTGTTTCAGTGCCCTCATGTGCAGAAGGCATTTTATGGAATGTCTTGTGATTGGCAGGGGGGGCACTGTCAAGACATTTAAGATTATGCTAGATGTTTGTGCACCAGTATCTTACGTTTGGAAATTTAAACAAAAGTAGTTCTCTCAATTCTATCCCTTCTGTGCCTTTCAAGCATTATCTTAGCTTCCTGTCACTCTGATAGAATTGGAGGTTTATGGCTCTTTCCATTGTCGAAAGACAGACATCCACTTTAATATCTTGATTGTGCAAGGGTTTGTAGAGGTTTTTTTTAAGATGTAGTGCTTAAAAACTGAAGTAGTTATCCGATACAATTTACAAATGCACTGAGGTTCCTTAATCCCATTGGCTTCATGTCATCTGTGATGCCTTGACATATTTTAAATCTTGTAAATTTCATATTTGTCTAATTATCTTTTAAAAAATAACGTGTTAAAAACCTGACAAGCATCTTTTAAAAAAAGAGTGAGACAACATGGAATTAAACACAAATTTCCTGGATCCCAGGTTATGTATAAATGAAAAGCAATTCTTTTCATTAGTTCTATAGAGCTGTTTACAAAAAATACCCATGTCAATTTAAAATTGTTTAATCACTCTTTAAAAAAGGTCTTAAAAGATTTTAATTATGATTTTATTGGACAATTGCATTAGTAATTACATACCAATTTTTTTTTTTTCAAATCTTCCTGGAGGTTTATTAATTATGTGATAGAAACTCAGTTACAAACCTCTTAAATGTCAAAAATATGCATTTCGTATTCAACTTGGTATTAATTTAACATACAACAACTCACTCTCAAATATGGATTGTATGTAGCAGCATGTTTAAGACCACATTTTCTGTCTACCCATTTTGGAAGTCAGGCTTTCATACAGATTGTCCTGCTTAGAGCAAATGCCAACCTATCTGAGAGACCTAATGTTCACCCAGTATCCACTGCAAATATAACTTTCCCAGGAGCAAGCATGCCACGTGATGTCAAAAAGTCAAACACTGCTCTCACTTCTGTTGACTTTACTAGTGAAATGTAAAGGACTAATACAGTTACTAAGAGCAGAGTTTGGCTACAGGATTGCAGATCTGTAAATGAGCAGTGTCAGACGCTTATTTTACCTGTTGCAGCAGAGTAGGAAGCATTGCTATGCATATGTTACATGAGGAAGCGTTGCTAATTACCTCCATAAGTGTGAATTTTGTAAGAATCAAACCTGTGTTGTAACTAGTAGCAATTTTTTTTCTTTTTCTTTTTAGAGCTCTGGTTTAGGCCCATTCTGCAGTTATCAAGTTGCCTTTGCTATGCTGTCAAGATGTGTGAAAATTAAAAACATCACCTTCCACAATAAAATTGCTACACTGGCAAATGGGCCCCACCACTCCATCTGCTTCTCTGTCCTGTGAGAAGAGAGCTTTTGTTGGCTTAGTTTGTCTTTCAGGGAACATAGGATACCTTTGCTGATAATGAAAAAATCCGCCAACTTTTCTTGTTACCATATGCTGTGTCTCTTCCTCAGCACTCTGCTGGTAGAAGCTACGCCAATCATGCTTTTAATGCAGCCCTGTCCAATTGTACTGAACAATTCAAAACTCGTTTAAACTATGCCCCTTTTTAAGTCTCTTTGGGAGTTTAATTTATACAACTTTGAAATACCTTTACATTTCCCCAAGAGAGTAAAGGGAACTTTGTGTATGTAAATATCAGATTTGTCAGATAACTATATCTGATAGCTAATTCTTCAGCAGTACAAGAAGTAAGCTGTAGACCTGAGGTGAACAGAAGACTTCTAACTCATGAAAGACTCTGGCTGACCTTGCCAGTGCCATTAATCATGAGTAGAGCTCAAGCAAATTGTATAGCACTGCAGAGATTTTAGAAGGAGAATATAAGGATATATGCACTTAGGGGGCCATAAACCATTGTCTTACAAAATGTCTGTGCCTTAGATCATCAGAAAAAGTCAGATGAAATAGTTTTACAGATCTTCCGTGGCATAATGCCTTGCGCATATCTGTACTTCTGTTACCTGCACAGCTACGTTTATGCATGACTATGTACATAAAGTGTGGGCAAACATACTGTTTTATATTTTTATTCTGCCTCTGTTAACATCTTGGCAAGAACAAAATTAATAAGGTTTCCATCCTGAAAAGGCTTTCTAAAATGTTTGATGTGGGTCTGACAGTGAAATACAATGATATGCTGAACTATAGCAGATGGTCAGTTGAAAAATAACTACTTCTATAATATGTATGCCTATAGTACCTACAGAGTAACAATCTAATTGCAAAGAAAAGTGATGTGGAGTTCTTTACATATACTTCTTTAGTGACACTTACAAGGGAAAAAATGTCTTGGTACTAAAAATACAATAACACTCCTAAAAAACCCTCTCCATTTAATATTTTACTAATAGTATAATTTTGAAAGAAGCGGGGGAGCCAAGGGAAATTTCCTTCACATAAAGGAATAGCTGCTTTCATCTTTTTATTATTTTGGAAAAATGTAATATTTGCATGAACATTTTAAATATTCATTGATGTATGCTAAGATCTTTTCCTTTTTAATTTGGGCTTTACATCTTCGGAGTGAGCAACAGCATTTTAAATTTAAATTTTAAGTGAAATTTTGGAAGAAGAAATATGATGTCTTGACATACTGTTTTCTTCTTTTAAGAAAACAAACATAACCCCCAAACACAACATACATCCCCCTTAGTTTTAGATATACTCCAGGAAGTGATCTCCATCCTTGTTCTAAAAGAAGTCAGCATGTTGCTATTGCTTCTTGTCTTAAAGTTCTTGTCCAATTTACCATTCAGTTTTGTAACACCATCACAGCAGACTCTTTACCACTTAAATGATAAAAGTTTCAATAGGCACTTTAGTGGAATTACGAAAAAGCTACCACTCTTCCACTGTGATGCCAGAAAGCTATCTTCTTTCTAAGTTGGGTCAGTAAACTGTACCTTGTAGGCCTGAGCTTGTCTCAGTGTAATTCCAGAGTAACAAAATGACAACAACAAAAAACTGTGTATATTACAGGATTTATCTTTCCTTCGCAGATCAAACCAAAACTGACAGTATGATAAATGTAGTAACTTGCTGGAAACAGTTGCTGTCTTTTATAATCAAAGGAATCCTGTCCTATTATAAAGCTTAGGTTTATCTTTTAAATTTGTTGTGGGTTTACTTTTCTTTTTATTTCACGGTTGTAGTTGTACTTAAGTGACTTTGTCAGGGTTATAACTTTCTTCTTCTCCAAACATGTCTGCCAAGATCTTAAAGCGAGGTCCCCAGTCACTCAGATAGTCATAATCCTGGTCTGCCTCTGTAGTAAGGGAGTCTATAGAGCTGAGAGACTCTGCAACAGATCCATTTCCTTCATAAGCATAGGTTGCCAAGGAATCGTAAGGGGGTGCAGTTGGATCTACATCATTTTCCTGCAGCCTTTGATTAATGAAATCTCTTATGTCTGTGTTATCTTCCACTGGTGGTCTCTGACGTGGAAAACGCAAGGTGTCTGGTTTTATGTCCCTGCGTATTTTGTTATCTTCAATCACTTTAGGATTCCTCAGGGCACCTATGTCGAAAGCCTGGGTGTCCTCTTCTCCGCCTCCTTCATCATCATAATGGATTACATTATCTCTGATGTCTTCTTTAGAGGTCATCAGGGTGTCTTTTTTCTTCTGCCTCCGAAGTGCTACATACAGTACCACAATGACTGTAACAAGAGAAAACTGAAGTTAAGACATGCACAGAAATAATTTGGTACTCTGATGATATATCATTATATCTTCCTTTGAAAGCTGCAAGCAATCAAAGGGACTTTTTCCTTAGAAGATATGCTCCTACTATTCTTTTAAAAATAGCAGTGCTCTAGCCAAAAGTCATTTGTTGTCTGATGTATGAGTCTAACTCCTTAGTGCTTGCTGTGCTGCTGAAGGAAGTAACAAATAATTTTCCTATTGGCTTACTTTGTGAACAAATAGAATTGGACAGGACTTCAGCTTTTTAGTTCAGAGAGACAGACAGATGGGATTTTTTTAAAATGTCTTCCATAGCAAAATAGAGAACAATTTCCAAATTTCTACATTGCAGATAAAAAACCCCACAGTATTAAAGAGGGAAAAAAAAAAAAAAAAAAGGAATCTTTAAGATGGAGAAAAAATAATCCTACTTCAGCTTTTTATATAGTACACTTCGGCCTTCTGGGATCTGCTTTGAAAAATCTTCAGGTATCTGCTTTGAAAAATCCCATGTGATATGGTTCTGGAGAGAAAAGGGGTACAAGAGAGCTGGTTGATTTTCAAGCATCACTTCCTCCAGGGTCAACAGTGGTCCATCCTGATGAGCAGGAAATCAAGCAAAAGCAGCAGGAGGCCTGCATGGATGAATAAGGATCTCCTGACTAAACTCAGAGATAAAAAGAGAGGCATATAAGAGATGAAAACAGACAGGTGAGCCAGGAGGAATATACAGTGACTGTCTGAATATGCAGGGATGCGGTTAGGAAAGTCAAAGGCCATCTGGCGTTGAATCTCATGACGGACATGAATGGCAACAAGAAGGGCTTGTACAAGTATGACAGCAGCAAAAGAAGAAGTAGGAAAAATGTGGGCCCACTGCTGAATGGGACAGGGGACCTGTTGACAAAGGACACAGAAAAGGCCAGCCTACTCAATGGCTTCTTTGCCTCTGTCTTTATTGGTAAGGTTGTCCTTCAGGAATCCCAAGTCCCTGAGACCAGCGGGAAAGTCTGGAACAAGAAAGACTTATCCTTGGTGGAAGAGGGTCAGGTTAGAGAACACTTGAACAAATTGGACACACGCAAGGACATGGGATCTGAGGGGATGCACAGATGAGTGGTGAGGGAGATGACTGATGTCATTGTGAGGCCATTTGTGATAATTTTTGAAAGGTCATGGGGACTGGAAGAAGTTTCTGAGGACTGGAGCAAATGTCACCCCTATCTTCAAGAAAGGCAAGAATAAGCTAGGGAACCTACAAGCCAGTCAGCCTCACTTTGATCCTGAGGAAAGTGATGGAGCAAATAATTCTGGAAACCATTTTCAAACCTATGAAGAACTGGAAGGGGATCAGGAGTAGCCAGCATGGATTCATGAAGGTGAAATTTTGCTTAACCCACATGATAGCCTTCCCCAATGAGGTGACTGGTGGATGAAGGGAGAAAAGTGCATTATTTTCATCCTAACTTTAGCAAAAACTTTCGATGCTGTCTCCCATAACAACCTTCTCAGAAAAACTGAGAAAGACTAGACAAGTAGATAGTGAGGTGAATTGCAAAGCTAGCAAAACTGCCAGGCTGTAAGGGTTGTGATCAACAGCCCAAAGACCAGATGGAGGCCAGTCACTAATGATGTAATCCAGGGGTCAATACTGGGACCAGTTTTGTTTAACATCTTCATAAATGACCTGGATCATGGGACTGAGTGCATCTTCAGCAAGTTGGCAGGTGATACAAAACAGAGGTTGTGCCACCAGTCAAAGGGACCTCACCAGGCTGGGGGAATGGGCCAACAGGAACCCCATGAAGTTCAACAAAGGGAAATGCCAAGTTCTGCACAAAGAGAGGAATAACCGCATACTGTAGGTGCTGTTGGCTGACTGCCTGGAAAGCAGCTTGACAGAGAAGGATCTAGGGTCCTGGTGGACAACTAGTTCACCATGACTCAGCAGTGTGCCCTTGTGGTAAAGAAGGCCAACAGCATCTGGGGCTGCATTAGGAAGAGCATTGTCAGCAGGTCTAGGGAGGTGATCATTCCCCTCTGTTCAGCCCTGGTCAGACACACTTGGAGTTCTGGGTCCAGTTCTGGGCTCCTCAGTACAGACATGGACTTCCTGAATTGAGTTCAGTGCAGAGCTACAAAGATGATTAAGGGATTGGAACATCTGCCATATGAGGAGAGGCTGAGAGAGCTGGGGCTGTTCACCCTGGAGAAGAGAAGTCTCAGGGGGATCTTATCAACGTGTATAAATACCTGATGGATGGAACTAAAGAAGATGGAGCCAGGCTTTTCTCAGTGCTGCCCAGTGACAGGACAAGAGGCAATGGGCACATATTGAAATGCAGGAAATTCCATTAAAACGTAAGGCAAAAGCTTCTTGACTGTCAGAATGGTCAAGCATTGGATCATGTTGCCCAGAGAAGTTGTGTTGTGTCCATCCTTAGACATATTCAAAACTCAACTGGATTTGTCCCTGCGCAACTTGCTTTAACTGACTCTGCTGTAAGCAGGGAGGTTGGACTAGATGATCTTCAGAGGTGCCTTCCAACCTCAGTTATTCTGTTATTTTGTTAGAAATGTCAAATCCTAGAAGATGTCAGCACTGGGTGTTTCTTCCAAGAAATCCCAAGGTCCACATTCATCCCACATAGTTTCAGGCAGTTCAGATAAAAACCTAAGTGCTTCTGCAGTTAATACCAACGCAGAGAGAAGCACATCCAGAAGAAATTTGAAATCTGCTTTAGCATAAGAACCCCAAAACAAGGGCAGGTTACACCAAAAGCAGTAACTTTATGTTACAATTTTGGAATAGCTATTGCTTTTTAAAGAATATCTAGAAAAGTTACTCCTCACAAAATTAGAGACTGAGGTTATGATCTCATATTTCTAGTTTGAAGCAAGACAGATAAATCTCTTTATATTTCTATTGGAACAGGCTGCCCAGGGAAGTGGTTGAGTCTCCATCCCTGGAGGTATTTAAAAGAAGGGTAGACGTGGTGCTTAGGGACATGGTTTATTGGTGGACTTGGCAGTGCTATGTTAACGGTTGGACTCAATGATCTTAAGGGTCTTATCCAACCTTAATGATTCTATGATTCTATGATTGTATGATTCTATGATTTACTGTCACTTTCAGTACAATAAGTAAGGGGCATCACATGAAACTAGCAGGAGTGAGGATGAAAGTACAAAACCAGAGGTGGTTCTTCATACAATGGGTAGCTGAGATAGGCATGGAGGCTCAGAGTTTACACAGGTTGAAAAAGAGGTTGGACAAATTAATGAAAACCTAATAATTTGTGGGCTGCTTAATACAGAGGAATCACATCTGGCTCAAGGAGTCCCTGAATACTACTTGATTAGCATCTGGGGGAGTCACATAACCTGGTCTGTTCCTATAGGTTTTGCTAGGATATCAGCTTATGCCGATGCTGGAAAAGGTTACTACCCCAGTTTGACCAATTTTATTTTCTTATTATGATTTTATTGTAATTTTAATTGATCCTCAAATCACCATTCCCTCAATTCTAATTTTCCAAATAGCATAGATAAAGCCAGTTCATCCTTTTTTATTACATATCACATGCATATGTGCATGCATATTTTCATAGAATCATAGAATCATAGAATGCTTTGAGTTGGAAGGGACCTTAAAGATCATCTGGTTCCAAACCCCTGCCATGGGCAGGGACACCTTCCACTAGACCAGGTTGCTCAAAGCCCCATCCAACCTGGCCTTGAATACTTCCAGTAATGGGGCATCCACAGCTTCTCTGGGCAACCTGTTCCAGTGTCTCACCACCCTCACAGTAAAGAATTTCTTACTTATATCTAATCTAAATCTACCCTCTTTCAGTTTAAAACCATTACCCCTTGTCCTATCACTATACTCCCTGATAAAGAGTCCCTCCCTGTCTTTCCTGTAGGCCCCCTTTAAGTACTGGAAGGCTGCTATATTGTGTCCCTGGAGCCTTCTCTTCTCCAGGCTGAACAACCCCAACCGTCTCAGCCTGTCCTCATAGGAGAGGTGCTCCAGCCCTCTGATCATCTTTGTAGCCCTCCTCTGGACTCACTCCAACAGCTCCATGTCCTTCTTACTTTGGGGGCCCCGGAGTAGAACACAGTACTCCAGGTACAGAACGCAGTACTCTCATTAGAGCAGAGCAGAGGGGCAGAATCACCTCCCTCGACCTGCTGGCTATGCTTCTTTTGATGCAGCCCAGGATACGGTTGGCTTTCTGGGCTGCAAGCGTGCATTGCCAGGCCATGTTGATCTTCTCATCAACCCACACCCCAAAGTCCTTCTCCTCAGGGCTGCTCTCAATCTGCTCATTACCCAGCCTGTATCCATGTTTGTGATTGCCCTGACCCAGGTGCAGGACCTTGCACTTGGCCTTGTTGAACTTTATGAAGTTTGCATGGGCCCATCTCTCAAGCCTGTCCAGGTCCCTCTGGATGGCATCCCTTTCCGCTAGAGTATCAACCACACCACACAGCTTGGTGTCATCAGCAAACTTGCTGAGGGTGCACTCAATCCTGCTGTCCGTGTCGCTGACAAAGATGTTAAACAGTGCTGGCCCCAAATCTGATCCCTGAGGAATGCCACTCATCACTGATCTCCACTTGGACATCGACCTGTTGACCGCAACGCTTTGGGTGTGACCATCCAGCCAATTCTTTATCAACCAAGTGGTCCATTTGTCAAATCCACGTCTCTCCAATGTAGAGACAAGGATGTCATGCACGACAGTGTCAAATGCTTTGCACAAGTCCAGGTAGACGACATCAGTTGCTCTTCCTTTATCCACCAATGCTGTAATCCCATGATAGAAGGCCATCAAATTTACCAGGCACGATTTGCCCTTAGTGAAGCCATGTTGGCTGTCACCAATCACCTCCTTATTTTTCATGCACCATAGCATAGTTTCCAGGAGTGTGTGCTCCATGATCTTGACGGGCACAGAGGTAAGACTGACTGGCCCGTAGTTCCCCAGGTCTTCCTTTTTTCCCTCTTTAAAAATAGGGGTTATGTTTCCCCTTTTCCAGTCAGCGGGAACTCCACTGGACTGCCACGACTTCTCAAATATGATGGGTAGTGGCTTAGCAACTTCATCCACCAATTCCCTCAGGACCCATGGATGCATCTCATCAGGTCCCATGGACTTGTGCACCTTCAGCTTCCTTAGATGGTCTCAAACCTGATCTTCTGCTACAGTGGTTAGTTCTTCATTCTCCTAGTCCCTGCCTTTGCCTTCTGCGACTTGGGCGGTGTGGCGTGAGCACTTGAGGGTGAAGACTGAGGCAAAAAAGTCATTGACTACCTCAGCCTTCTCCATATCCCAGGTAACCAGGTCTCCCATTTCCTTCTGGAGAGGGACCACATTTTCCCTAGTCTTCCTTTTATCACTGATGTACCTACAGAACCTTCTTTTTATTGCCCTTGACATCCCTGGCCAGATTTAATTCGATCAGGGCTTTAGCTTTCCTAACTTGATCCCTGGCTGCTCAGACAATTTCTTTATATTCCTCCCGGGCTACCTGTCCTTGCTTCCACCCTCTGTAGGCTTCCTTTCTGAGTCTGAGTTTGTCCAGGAGCTCCTTTTTCATCCATGCAGGCCTCCTGGTGTTTTTGTCTGACTTCCTCTTTGTTGGGATGCATTGCTCCTGAGCTTGGAGGAGGTGATCCTTGAATATTAACCAGCTTTCTTGGGTCCCTCTTCCCTCCAGGGCTTTATCCCATGGTACTCTACTGAGCAGATCTCTGAAGAGGTCAAAGTCTG